CCCCCCCCCCCCGGTCTGGAGCCGAGCCGCGTTTAACCCGGCTGGGGTTGCACTCCGCATCCCCGCGCTTCTCCCGAGCCCCGCTCCTCCGCGGAGGGAAAAAGGGGTTTTCTTTATTTAAAATGGGGTGGGGGGGATGGAACAAAAAGCACTTGCCATTAATTTAGCCACGGGAGGAGACAAAGTTGAAGAAACACAGGAGGCCCGGGGTTTTTGTTGTAAAATAACACCCGGAATGTTGCATCTCGTGTAAATATCCCGTAGCTGCAGCTTAGCACCGACCAGCCGCCCCCGAGACGGTGCTACAGACAGGTATTCCCGCAAAAGCCTGCGGTTCGAAAAGTCGCTCTTACACCCAGCATGTGTTATTAATAGGATCTGGGTTACTTTGCGAAGCCCACACCTAAGGAGCCAGCAAACAAAGACCTGACCGACATTGACGATGTTGCCTCCTCCCTCAGCCTTCTTGAGCCCTGAACAGTGTGCTGGTGGCATCACAGGCAAAAAAAAAAAGAAGGAATAGGAAAAACAACAAAAAACTTGAGTTCTGTTATTAAGCAGCTACTCCAGCAGATAAGGCTTCCCATTCTTGCTTTGAAATAAATCAATATTATTTTTTTTCCTTCGGAAAACAAACAAAAACATGTGCTTGCATTATCGAAAAGATTCAGTTAGGGAGCAGAGGAAAGACATAAATGTTTGGGTGGGTTTGGAAGGCTAGAACTAAAGATAAAATGTAAGATGCAATTTTCCCCTTTACCTTGTTGCCCGATCTGTAGCAAACACGGCATGGGGCTCTCTCATCCCCAGATGCTTTGAAACTGTTAAGAAAATAAGTGAATTTTGGCAAAAGTCTGTCTTTCCATTGTGTTTCCTCCTCTTTCTCTTTTCCCCTTTACCCACTACTAATCTTCTCTATCTCCATCTCCCCCCCCTCAAATCTAACCGTGTCCCATTAAAGGAGAAAGGACTATAAGATCTTTTCTTCATTTCACCGACTGTATGTCTTTCAGCTTTATTTTGTGCTGTGATTTTTCTTGGGAGTTACATATCTGAGATATTTGAAGTATAGTGGGTTGCAAGGAATTCAATAGCAAAGGGCACATTCTTTGTGTGGTACAATGTGAAAGCTTTATTAGGAAAGGAGAGAGAGGAGGGTTTTTTTTACCCTCAATATATTTTTTCCACTTGACCTCTGGGAAAAA